ATTCTGACATAGTAAACTCTTCCGCCATCTGAGGCGCTTGTCCCAGGGCTGTTGGGCAGCTCATACCCCACCAGCCACCGCAGGGGTATACAGTCAACCCGCAGAATGAGGATGGGCACCCTTCCCAAGGGTACCTTGCATCCTTGCCCCGTCCGCCCATCTTTGGCCACTTTCGCGGCCGCGCCCCGCTCAGAAAGCTTCGACATGGCCTTCAAGGCTCTTGCACCCCTATCGTGCGTTCTTATGAGCCGAGCTGGCTGTAAACATCCCAGCCGCCGTCCTGGGACAGGTCCCCCCCGATGGTGGAAAAGTCTATATCGTATACCGCTGTCGCCCGCTGAGGCATCGTCGACGCTGGCGCCGTCGCCATCGTCGTGGTCGCCGTGGTCGTCGCCTTCGTCAACTCGACGCCGACGTCGCCGTCGAAGCCGGAGCCGTGGCCGAATTCAGGAGGAGGAGGAGGAGGAGGAGTGGGAGGAGGAGGAGGACGAGGAGGAGGAGGAGGAGGAGGAGAAGTAGGAAGAGGCGGAGGAGGAGGACGAGGACGAGGACGGGGATGAGGCACAGGAGGAGGAGGGCGACGAGGAGGACAAGGAGAACGACGAGGAGTAGCAAAAGGAGGAGGAGGACAGGACAGGACAGGACATCCGCATGAGGGGGTCAACGTCAATGCGCTTTCTAAGGTGCAGTGTAGAGCGTATGCGTATTTCCCCTGCGTGAGTGTTCTGCAGCAAGGACTCGACAGACCTTCGGCATCTCATCGAGCGAACTGCCAAGGCCTGCGCAGAGGCGTGCACGCTGCCCTCCTAACCCCAAGCCCTCACCTTCCCCCCTCCTCCACCACAGGCGAGCGTGCGGCCCGTTCGCAAGGAGCCCTGTATTACCAGTCGGTAGTTCTCCGATGACGTCAAGGGATGCGGCACCGCTGGCACTGCGTTGCCAACGGCGCGTGCGAGCGGGCCTGCACAAGAAGGAGGGTTCCCTGAACCCCTCTTTGACTCGCTAGCCAAATTCTTCTCATGCCCTGCGGAGAAGAGGACCGAGGAAGAGAAAGGAGGGATGCACCATGCACTCCGAGATGCCCTCGCTAGTGCGATCGGCGTTCCCTGCGCCAAGACAGATGCTTCCCCCCCAAACGCGCTCAGAAATGTACGGCCCTGGCTCTTGTTGACTTCACCTCGCGCCAGCTCGCCTGTCACTTCGTCTTGTCGTCTTCTGCAAGGTCGCACTCAATAGCTCTAAAAATCTGGGAAAACTTGCGGCACATGCTGAAGATTCGCACGAGATTTCCGTCCAAAGAAGTAAGTTGTTGCATACGTGTAGTTGTCTCCAACTTAGGCGTGCACATTGGCCTGCGATCTAATCATCTCGCGGCGGCAGTTGCGTAATTGTCTCCCAACTTGGCAAAAACTCGCATGCTTTCCCATTCCGAAAGGGCGCATTCCACTTCTGGTGAAGTACGGACTGTGCCGCTGTTGGCCAAATGGTGCAGTAATCCATCCGCAGAAAAATAATGGCCAATCTTGCTCCACATAATGTCATAGATGCCGTCCAAAGTTCGTCCGTTGCGCTTCCGCGTCCGCTCTTCGATGACAAACCCTTCAACAGCTGTGTCTTTAACCACTAAGAGGTCAGAGGGAGCCTCCGTTGGGAAAGTTTGCCGGTCCCTTTTCCTAAGTTTTCGACTCCTTCTCCACCTTGTCCAGACTTGCGCAATCCCTTTGCGAAGCAAACATTCTAATACGTCAACAAATTCTCCAACGGACATCCCCCCTTCCTTGCGCAGTGTTTACAATAGTGATTATTTTGTGGGTCGCTGTACAACTGAAGAGCGTTGCGATCTTAGGGTCGTCATTGAGGAGCGTGGGTTTCGAAGCTCGTCATCGGCACCAGTCGGTTGCCTCTGAAACTCGGGGCCTCCATTTTCCCAGACCTCCTTCGCTCTCTGGCGAACAAGCGAGTCAATCTCCTGGGGCAGCATTTCCAAATCATTGGGTTGGTTTCCACATTGCCAGACCTCCTTCTCGTCCGTTTCACCGCGGGAGTCCATGGGTTTTCGAGGTTCCTCCAACTTCATCCTCTGTCGAACAAGCGAGTGCAAAGCAGGGCCGATCGGGTTCAGGAGGACGAGTAGAATGACGAGGAGAACGACGAGGAAGAGGAGGAGGAGGAGGAGGAGTCGTCGCCGCCGCCGCCCTCGAACTCCGCGGCGGCGCGGCTACGCGTCTGCGCGCGCCCGCGGGCGTCCGCTCCAGACCGCGCGGTTCCGTACGCGCGCGACCGTCTGTGCCTCAGGACCTGGATTCGGGCGAGGACGCGCGCCGCGGCGCCGCCGGCTCTTCGTCGTCGTTTTCCTCTTCTTCCTCTCCCTCCTCCTCCTCCCTTCCTTCCTCCTCCTCCTCCTCCTCCTCCTCCTCCTCCTCCTCCTCCTCCTCCTCCTCCTCCTCCTCCTCCTCCTCCTCCTCCTCTCTGCTCCTCCTCCTCTCTGCTCCTCCCCCTCGTTCGTCGTGTCCGCCCCTCCTCCTCCTCCTCTTTCCACTCCTCTTTCCACTCCTCTTCCCGTCTCCTCCTCGGAGCAGGGCGACAGACCAATTGAGCAAGTCAGTAGCGGGCCCACTGGGGCAGTTGCCGTCGCCCTCCGCTGCGTCTCTTCACGATGGGCAGTCCTCGAAGAAGAGAAACCACAAACGTAAACGTTTGGCGCTCCGCGCGCATTTCTTGGATCCGCGCTGGCCCCCCCCCCCCCGGCACGCCTCTTGCGTCGCCCCTGGCGCGCTCGCGCGCTCCGCGCCCGGGTGCTCGAAATTATTCCAGGGATGTGGTCTTTAAGTACGATGGGAGCAACATAACAAAATGTACCGATATACCGCCAATCCCTGGACCTCGTCCATGGCGCGCTCTGGCCCCGGACTGTCGAGGTGAGTCTCTGGCGGCGAATCCGACGAGGGCCTCCCGAGAGGCCCCAACTGGCTAGAACGAGGGAAGGGCAGCGGTGTGGGCACCTTACCCATAAACTGGGCCTGTCCCTCTACAGGGGGAGTATTCAAGAATAGTAAAAAATAGTCTGGGGATGATTTTTTGAATATGTTTTGGCTATGTTTGAGTATTTTTGGAGTATGTTTTACCTTTCGTTTAAAATCCGCCTGTAGGGGGACATGCCCGACCTAACCTTTCCCAGACATCCCATGCCTTGTTTTTTTCCATACGGGGTCCCCGCAAGTCTCGACGCATTCCCCAGGACCCGTTTTTCATCCCGAGTTGTTTCTGGACGGTCCCAGGGCCCGGCGAGGGCCCCTAGAGGCCAAACATTCCGAAAAACCTCCGTCTTGTTTTTTTCAATGCGTTGGATCTTTGTTTGTCCCCAACTGGGGGGTAATTTGGTGGGGGTCTCGAAGGGGATGGGGATGGGGATGGGGGTCGGTTAAACGATATCGAGGAGGAGGACGAGGAAGAGGAAGAGGAAGATGAGGAGGAGGAGGAGGAGGAGGAGGAGGAGATGGATAAGGGGAAGGAGGAGGAGGGGGAGGGAGGAGGAGGAGGAGGAGGACTCTGTGAGGATGGCTCTCTGGGTATCTCCTCGCAGAGCCATGGGGCGCAGCCCCGTCGTGCAGCGTGCGCCTGTGGTGCCAGCCAGGCGTGCCGCTCGCGCGCGCTTCGGCCACGGGGCGCGCCCTCCGTGAGACGCCCGCAGGCGCACCGGGGGCGACCACGAGGAGGGGGAGGGGGAGGGAGGAGGAGGAGGAGGAGGAGGAGGAGGAGGAGGAGGAGGAGGAGGAGGAGGAGGAGGGGGAGGGTGGAGGAGGAGGAGGAGGAGGGTGGAGGAGGAGGAGGGGGAGGGTGGAGGAGGAGGAGGAGGAGGAGGAGGAGGAGGAGGAGGAGGGCTCGTTTCGATTCCTCCGGTTCGCCTCGGTTCGGTCTCGGTGGTATCCGATTCCGATCCGATCCGGGTTGGGGTTCCGATGTGGGTTCTGGGTTCGTATCGGAGGCATATTCGCGTGTCGATTTCTGTCGATTCGACTTCTGCCGACTCGGCTGCCGATTTCCGCCGATCCGATTCATTTCGATCGCCGATCCGACTTGCCGATTTGATTTTGGGCTCTCGTGCTCAAGCAGTGGGGAAGCGTCCTGGCTTGCCCATAGGCCCACCACATAATATTCTAAGAGCCTTACGTGGTCTGCACGAAATGTGATTCGAGCATTTCTGGCCGAGACTGTCTTGTTTCAATGCATCGGGCTTATGTTCCAAGAACATTGTGTTTGCGATTAGAACGTTTTTGGGTTCTAAGAACATGTCGTGGTAGGCTTACAGGAATGCTGGGACGGTCGGTCCCTGCTCAACCCACGGGGCGGCTGCCATCTCTAAGAGGAGGAGAAGATTCCGATGCCGCTGCCCGTCCTGGAGACTCAGACAGAGATGCGCGCGTCGTTAAACAAAAATGAGACGGGCCCCGGGACTGTCGAAAACGACCCAGGATGAAGAGCCGGTCTTGGGGAAAGGGTCGGGACTTCCGGGGAGAACATCGGGACGTCGCATGCCTGGGAACGCCACGGCTGGATCTGTCCTCGAAGTCCTGGTCAGAGTGCACCCCAGGGGAGGGCTTGGGAGCAGTGGTTTCGGTGCTAGGTCACGCGCGAGATGGGGGCCTGCGACCAGCTCGCGCGGGGCCCGCGCTGCGCGCTGCCAGTCCGCCCTCGCTCCGAGTTGTTCCATCGGCGTGCGGGGGGGCTGGTCTGCGCGGTGGTGTGAGGACAGGACAGGCTTCGCTTCGCCTGGCGTGGGGGGTTGGGTCTCGTTCAGGGGTGAGTTCGGTGCTCGTGGGGGCGCCGGGCGGGGCCTTCGGGCGGAGAGGCATGGGGTGCGGCATCGAGCAGCTCGGAGTAGCCCTCGCCCTCGAGGCCGAGCCCGACCCCGACCCTCGAATCCGTCGAGCGGGCCGATCCCCCGAGCCCCGCCCGAAGGGGTGGAGCCCTCGGAGTCCGAGCCCGGCCCTGCACCCGAGCGGCCACAGAGGACATCTGGTACCTGATAGGCGTGCAGGCGGACGTCACGCACCTCGCCGAGGGCGAGCTGCCCAAGGACCTCGGTCGCGGGCCCGGGCGGGCGCCGTGGTCGCCGCCTCTGGTCGTCGAGGGCCAGAGAGGGAAACTGCACAAGCACAGCGATCGTGCTTTTGTTTAAGAACTGTTCTGCCGATCGGCGCGGGCCCTCGCACCCCCCTCCCTCCCCCTTCCCCAGGGAGTAGATCTTGGCCGTTTGGGGCGCCTGTTTCAGGCAGGTGGAGCCTACCCCATAAGACGCACTGCTGCAAAAAACAGCCGCACTAAGCAGAGGTCCAGAGCCATACTCCCTCCCCTTCCCCCCCCCCTTGCGCCTACTGTCGACACGCCGAATAAAATAGCGTTTACATACTCCAGAAGTCAACGGGGGGTTGGTCTGATCTGGGGGGTGTCTGATCTGAGCTGCCTTGGAGGCTCCCAGGGTGGGGGTCTGGGCCAAAGGCCGCCCTTTCAGGACTTGTGTTGGGGGATCTAACACTGTGCTCGTCTGGGAGGGTTGTGACCCCTCACGTTTTTTGACAGTGTCAAAACATGCTCGAACTGTCTCTCGGTCATTCCCTGGCCCACTGCATCGTGAGCCAGGGCTCAGATGAACAGTTTTTGTTGTTCTGCACGGTGTGTGGCGCATACACGTCGCGCAGATGTCGGCTCCTCAGCAAAGAATTCCAGCAGCGGAAGATTGCTGGCGGCGCGACTAGCCTGAGGAGGATTTACCAATGTGTGTTGCCACATTCCCGAGAGGACTCGGCAGTGTCCGTGACTTGTCGGAGGAGAGTGACGAACCTGTGGTGTTACGCTGCTGCGTTGCCGCCGCCTGAAGAGGTGACGCCGCGGCAGCCTGCGATGGCGGGGCTCCAAGCCATGGACCCTTCACATATACCACGGAGTGCGGAAAAAACTGCAAAGGTCACCCTCGTGGGCGAAAGCAATCGCGCTTCACGCGGCCCGGTCTGGGCCAGACCAGCGGCCCTTCTCCGAGAGGGTGGCGCGAGGGCGGGACAAGACAATCCCGCGTCGCGCACCGCAGGCCGCGAGGCGCAGCCATATGCGATCTGGACACAGGAGGGGCCCGACCACAAGAAACCTTCCACAAGAAACCCAATCCTGAGACCCCAGGACGTCCATTGGTTTTTGATCCCCAGAGCAAAACCATCGAATCCCAAGGAAACCAGGGTACCCTGGAGGCAAGCAGGGTGCTTCTTGTCATGTCGATGGCCCGCGCGGAGTTCATTGGATCGGCGCCAGATCCCCCCTGGCGGCGCCTCCAGCGCCTCTTCGGGCGCGCTCTGCGCGCCAGGGGGGGGGGTCTGCGCAGATCCAAGAGATCCGCGCGGGCCATGCAAGCGCACGCGAACAGAACAGAGGGAAGGCCTTTCGGCCGATGCCGCCGACCCTGAAGGACGGCGGCGGCGGCGGCGGCGGCAACGACGCTGACGCTCTGGAGCCCTTCTTGGGGCTCTCTTGGGAGCCCGTTGGGCTCTGCTGGGAGGCCTCGGGGACGGGGAGCGTGTTTCTTTCTTGAATGGGGCATAATGGGCATTATAGCCCCCAGCCCCCTCTCCACAGTGCACTCCGGGCACTGCCGCCGTGTGCACGGCGGGCGGGAGGCGTTACATCACCCCCCCCCCTGGCCCTTCCCTCCCCCCCCTATAATGCCCATTATCGCCTAAGAGAAAGAACCGCGCTCGGGAGTCCGCGCAGATCCGAGAGATCCAAGCGGGCCGTGCAGGCGCTCCGAGAGTGTCTGTTCGCTGTCGCAGCGCTGGCGAGCGCACCGCGCGGCTCGAGGCGGCGTGGCACCGGGGGGCATGCAGGCGAGCACCGAGATTAAGTCGGGCCTGTCCCTCTCCAGGGGGGGATATCCAAACATAGTGAAACAGTACAGGGACGATGTTTTGTGTATTGTTCGTTATTTTTGTTGTGCATTGTTGGGGTATTTTTGACTTTTCGTCCAAGGTATCCCTGTACGGTAGGTTCGCGTCGTGTCGACCGGCGGCGACCCCGCCGCGGGCGTTCAAGGTTGAACGCCGCCAGTGGCCCAGAATAGGCCTATATGGAACGATCGAGCGATCCACAGTCGCCGATCGTTCAAGGTTGAACGATCCACGCGGAGTCAGAAACCAACGCCGGGGTCGTCACGACACGAACCTGACGTACGGGGACACGCCCGACCCAACACCAAGGCATAGTTCTGCCGCGCAACTCCCGGCGGGACGTCAAGCACGCAGCACCACTCCGAGGAGGGCCTTCGGGGGGGGGGGGGGACCCTCGTCGCCACGGCAGGACGCAACGCGGAAAACTGGTGCGTTTGGGCCCCGGGATAGGTCTGGGGGGATGGGCTTGTTTTCCACCACCACCACCATAAGTAGGAATGGGAGGGGGTCCTCCTCCTCCTCTTCTTCTTCTTCTTCCTCCTCCTCCTCCTCCTCCACCTCCTTTCCCCCTCCAACTCATGGTGGTGGTGGTGGAAAACAAGCCAATCATGGGGGGATCGGTGTTGAATTCCTGGTGTCGCATCTCCGAAGCAGGCTTGGAACTTGCATTTCGGCCGCCCGAGCCGGGAGTTTGTGATTCTGCTTATGAGGCGAGGGTGGTTTGGAGAGGTTCAGAGGGGGTGTGAAGCCAACGACGCCGACGATGATTCACGTATTGTTCTCGGTGTGCGCTACCATTTGATTAGCGATGTGGTTTGGGTGCTCCAGCTCGAGCTTCGGACCCCGCGTGCGTGACGGGAGTGTTTTGGAAATTTGCTTGCAGGGTGCAGCATCCTCGGCCCTCCCCCTGCCTGTAGTTTCTTGTGGCCCGCAGGTCCACCCTGCAGCAAACCTCCAGGGCACCCCTGTGTCCTGCGTGTCGTGTGTCATGTCCTCGCCTGCTTCGTCGCGATCCCAACCCAGCCCCGCCGACAAGTGCGCTGGCCGAGGCCGCGACGGCAAGGTGGCGTGCCTTCCGCATGCTTGGAGCAGCTTGGCTCTCCCCCCTTCGGGGACTCGTGTCATGTCTCGGCTGCGAGCCCAGAGGGGAAGTGAGAAGCGGCGGGCCTTCCCAGAATGCTCGGCAGTCCCCTGGCCTCCTGAGAAGCTGTCTATCAGCCTTCCCCGAAGGCACAGAACACCCCATCGGAGGGCGGCGGGGCTTCTCACTTCCCCCCCGGGCGCGCCGCCGAGTTTGCTTCCCAGGTCATACCTCGGGTCTCCGGCGGCCGTTCGGGAGGATCCGGGCCCCCCCGGAACGCCCGCGGCGAGGCGCAGCTGCTGGCAGGCATGCCGAGGGCAGAACACCGCCGAGGAGCGACGAAAGCGCCCGAACGCCTCGCGCTCGCGCGCCCGAGAACCTCGGCCGCTCGCCGCTCGCGCGGGCCTCGAAGCCGACCTCGCGCTCGCCGCTCGCCGCCGCGTGCTGGCTCCCCCGTGGGGGGGGGGGCTCGCGTGCCCTCCGCGGCCGGGCTCGGCGGCAGGGGCCGCCCGTCCCGTGGCCTGCGCGGGAGGACCACCTGGCCGAGCTGGAGCTCGTGGCCGGGGCGGTGCGTGCGGGCCTGGAGCGGGAGGTGCGGCAGATGGCGCTGGACAGCGTCCAGGATCGAGCACGGGCACGCCGTCGATCGGCATTGCTCAGCACTGCTTGTCGTTGCTCGGTGTTGCTTCGTCGGGGGATCCCGAGCAACGCCGGTGGCCCCGAACAACGACGGGGGCCGCCTCTGACGAGAAGCCCCGCACCAATGGGTTCCTTTCGAGAAGTCCCGAGGACAGCGCTGGACGGCGTGCCCGTACTATATAGGCCTACCCAACAGGTGTTCCAGGAGCCTTCTTCGTGTGGTGTCCACGAGGTGTGCTTGGAACGCTGCTGGCTGGGACCGTCTTGTTTTAACACATCGGGTGCATGTTATGAGAACATTGCTTTTGTTCAGAGAACATGTTGGGGTTCTAAGAAAATTTCGTGGTAGGCCTAGTTATAGGAATGCCGGGACGGTCGGTCCTTGCTCAACAGGAGGGCTTCGCGCCGCCGCCGCCACCGCCGCCGTCGTCGTCGTCGTCGTCGTCGTCGTCGTCGGGCTCGTACGTCGTCGTCGTCGCCGCCGCCGCCGCCGTCGCCGTCGTCGTCGTCGTCGTTCTCGTCGTCTGGGGAGGGTCGAGAGGAGTCAGGGGAGGGGGGGCGACGAGCCAGGGTGGACGGTGCGATGAGGGCTGGAGGAGGAGGTGGGTGTGGAAAGTGGGCAGATGCGGCAGACGGCGCTGGGCAGTGTCCGGAAGGTTTTCTCGTCGTTGTGTTGGTAGTGGTGGTCGTCTCCCTCGTCCTTGCCTTCGTTGGCGTCGTCATCGTCGCCGTCTGCGGGGGTCCTCTCCCCTCCTCTCTCCCCCCCTAGGAGCTCCGCTTTGCAATTAGCTCCAAGTAGCTCTTTTCCTTTAGTTTTTGCTCCTAGGAGTTTCCTTGGAACTTTGTTTTGCCCACTGGATGCGTCGCTCTATACATGCATCTGAGCATCATGTTGCCAATCATTGTGCAAGCGATTTTGGCAACACAGGTCTACGACGGCGTTGGAGATCCAGAGTTAATGCATGGCGTGACTTTTGTGGAGACCCGAGGGAGCACGTCTTGAACGAGCGCGCCCACGAGAGGGAAGGCCGGCCAAACGACGGACATACGACATAATTAGTGGGACACGTTCAATCCCAAGTATCTGACAGCACGAACGCTCTCCGTGATATAAAGGAGACAGAGTGCGCGAGCGATTTGAGCATTTACGCGGAGTCGTTCTGTGAGTGATGGCCATCCCGCCCTGCCTTCTTGTTTTGTTGTTCCTTCTTTTTCTTCTTATTCCCCATATCCTAAGATGGGGTTCTTTTTATCACTCAGACGCCGCCGACTCCAGAGAACCAGAGAGAACACACCTACTCATACACAGATTTACTCATACTCAGACCTGCTCATACTCATACCTTCTCGTGGTCTGACTTACTCAAACACAACATGCAGGCCTACTCATACTCAGACTTACTCATGCCGGGACTCCTTCATACCCAGACTTACTCGCACCCAGACTCGTTCCCAGACCCGATCATACACAGACTTACTCATACTCAGACCTACACACTCAGACCTTCTCATAGTCTGAGTTACTCAACGCACGGACTGAGCCCTACTCATACTCAGAACTAGTCATACTCAGACTCGCAAGGGGAGCCGCCAGGGGAGTTTTCACGGGCCCGTTCGCGGCCAGTTTGTGGGGATGTCTCAGGCGGTTTGCTTGTTTTCATGCCCAACATCCTTCGCTTTCAGAGCAGATCGTGAGGATGTCTCAGGCGGGGTGCTGGTTTCAGCACCCCCAAGGGGAGCCGCCAGGAGTGTTTTCACGGGCCCGTTCGCGGCCAGTTTGTGGGGATGTCTCAGGCGGTTTGCTCGTTTTCATGCCCAACATCCTTGGCTTTCAGATCAGATTTTGAGGACGTCTCAGGCGGGGCGCTGGTTTCAGCACCCCTAAGGGGAGGCGCCAGGGGTGTTTTCACGGGCCCTTTCGCGGTCAGTTTGTGGAGACGTCTCAGGCGGTTTGCGTGTTTTCATGCCCAACATCCTTGGTTTTCAGAGCAGATTTGGAGGATGTCTCAGGCGGGGCGCTGGTTTCAGCACCCCTCAGGGGAGCCGCCAGGGGTGTGTTCACAGGCCCGTTCGCGGCCAGTTTGTGGGGATGTCTCAGGCATTTTACTCGTGTGCACGCCCAATATCCTTTGGTTTCAGAGCAGATTGTGAGGATGTCTCAGGCGGGGTGCTGGTTTCAGCACCCCTCAGGGGAGCCGCCAGGGGTGTTTTCACGAGACCGTTCGCAGTCAGTTTGTGGGGATGTCTCCGGCGGTTTGCTTGTTTTCATGCCCAACATCCTTGGCTTTCAGAGCAGATTTTGAGGAAGTCTCAGGCGGGGCGCTGGTTTCAGCACTCCTGAGGGGAGCCGCCAGAGGTGTTTTCACGGGCCCGTTCGCGGCCAGTGTGTGGGGACGTCTCAGGCGGTTTGCGTGTTCTCATGCCCAACATCCTTCGCTTTCAGAGCAGATCGTGAGGATGTCTCAGGCGCGGCGCTGGTTTCAGCACCCCTAAGGAGAGCCGCCAGGGGGTAGGACACGGGCGCGTTCGCTATCATAGTCAAACGCTTATGAACAGTCGCTCACTATGGCGTGACAGAAACATACGATGCACATATGGGGAGCTCCACGCAGTGAGTAATTCTTATTATTATTAGTAGCATGTCTATTAGTATTAGTAGTGTGTTTGTTCTTCTTCTCATAATCATCGCCCATCTTCCATCATTTGCCAGCATTGTGCCGCTTGAGGTCCATGTATGTTCCACCACTTGACTCATTGGTGTTCTGTTGCCACCTTGCCGTGCCCTCGCGGCTAATTGTGGCACGTCTGGTCCGATGTCCCACTGGGCAATCCTGGTAGCCGTCCGATGCACGTTTTTTTTGCAATGGTCGTTTCCAGTCAAAATGCCTTTCCCCCTTCCGTACTCATCCTCTTCTCTGGCTTCAGGAGGAGGAGGAGGAGGAGGAGGAGGAGGACGAGGAGCAGTACGGACTCCCCCCTGGTTTTGTTGTCATGTTGGTTTGGGTCTCCAGAGTCCTCCAGGAACCTTCATGGACGTTGGGACCTCCAAGGAAATGTGGATTCCATCTCCTCTCGAGGTCTTGCAAAGGTTTATGATATGAGAAGTTCCTGTGCGTTTTCTGGCCCGTGGCCGTCTCTGGAGTCCACGAGCGGCCCGAACGACCGCGTCAGTGCCTTACTTTTGGCCGGAAAGCCAGGGGAGGCCCTCCTCTCTTTGCGAGCTCACGGGGAGGAGGGGAGGGCGCTTTTTTTCACCGTCGGTCTCCAGAAGCTACCCTCGGGCTCCATACGCATCTTCCACGACGGTGTTCCTCGACGACGAACGATCCGCAGGGAGGAACTCGAGGAGACAGCTACCGCCATCCTCGGTGCCTTCCATTTCGGTCTCCGGGAGCCGATCTCGGGGCCCATAGCGATGCTCGACGAAGTCGATGCCCGATGATAATGGTCATCGACGAGCATCCTCGACGAAAGCTCCAGGACCATTGATCAACTGCCCTGGACGAGCGATGGGTTGAAATACTGGCCTGGATGGACCCCAGAAGGCGTCTGGAAGCTGGTTTTGAGCGCATTTTTGGCAGCAGGGGGGGTAGGGGAACTACAGTGCGAGCGCGGCCGCAAGAAACCCTCGCAAGAAGCCCAACCCAGAGAACCCGCGCGCGGGGTGCCCCTGAGGGGAGACCTGGAGCACCCTGAACGCAGTAGCTCCTTCGACGGCTGCGGGAAGTCGCCGCGCAGCGCGAGGAGCGAAGAAACCCAGGATACCCTGGCGAAAAGCACATGGTTTCTTGATGCGCGCCCCCACTGTAGGAGGAGGGGTTTGGACTATGGCGGTCCTCCTCCTCCTCGTGCTCCCCCCGAGGAGCAAAGATGAGCAGGGAGGAGGGGGGAGTCCAGAAGCCGCAGGAGGGCGGAGGAACGTGGCGTGTGTTCCTTTTCCAGTGCCTGCTGGTGCCAGGAGAAGCGCTGGCGAGCAGCGATGAGGGAGGTTTGCTGGCGGATGAGGGGGGGAGACGGATGAGACGGATGAAGCTGAGGAGGTGTGTCGACGCCGTACACGTGCGCACCGCGGAGGTCACGCACAAAAGTTTCGCGCCTTGGATTGGTCGAGGCAGAATCGGGTTCTTGGGGGGGGGTACTTCGCCTTGTCTTCCTCAATGTGTCGTGGCAGCGCTAACGGGGTCGCATGATTCGTTTGTCACTCCCTAGAAGCACCAACTTGCTGGCAGCACGGCGTGGAGTGGTTTCAAGGCCCGCGACGCACATGTTGGGGAATCTGGACGAAATTTGTCGTACTCGTTCTCCTCGTCTTGTCTTCCTCGTCCTCATCCTCGTCCTCATCGCCCTTCTCGTCCTTCTCGTCCTTCTCGTCCTCCTCGTCCTCCTCGTCCTCCTCGTCCTCCTCGTCCCCCTCGCCCTCCTCGCCCTCCTCGCCCTCCTTGCCCTCCGCGGCCAAGCGCCCGCCTCGAGGAGTGCAGAGCCGAGAACTCGTCCACCTGGACCGGGACCAGCCTAGAGAACATGGACTCCTCCTCCAATTGCGGGGAGCTCGTCAAGCGAGGGGTCTACAGGAGATCCTGCCACGCGCAGAGGGGTAATCCAGAAGCCCTTATAATGAGGACGATCGAGGTCGTTTCAAAGCAGTCCCAGGGGACTGCTTTGAACGCTAGGCAACGTTCAAAGCAGTCTCCTGGGACTGCTTTGAACGATGCGGATTTCTGGCCAGAAGAGCGCAGGGAGGAACAGGAGGAGGAGGAGGAGGAGGAGGAGGAGGAGGAGGAGGAGAAGGCTGTTGCAAGGTGCGCCGATGGCTCCTGTCCGTCGCCACGCTGTGCCCAGGGGGGGAAGTGGTGAATGAGAAGGAGGAGGGGGAGGGGTTCGAGGAAGGATCGGCGAGGTGTTTCTCATCAGCGGGACAACAAAGCCGCAGTTGCGGCGATCCAAAGTAATTCTTTCAAAATCGAAGATTCCCCTCTGTCCCTCTGCCTTCAGGGGTGTTTGCATACATACATATATATGTATGTGTGTATATTTGTATGTATGTATGTATGTATGTATGTATGTATGTATGTATGTATGTATGTATGTATGTTTGTATACATATATGTATAGATCTAATTTATTTATATATATGTATATATTGCTATTGGTATGTATGTTTGTATTTGTCGTCGCCGTCGCCGCCGTCGTCGCCGTCCTTCCAGGGCGCCCCCCCGCTTCGAGTAGCGGTCACGGGGGGGGGGGGGGCATCCCGGAGGGGCGCGTTCTGTCTCCCTCCCTGGGTTCTGGGGCGCCCCCCCCCGCCGCGGGAAGCGGTCGCGGGGGGGGGGGGGGGGGGGCGCTCTGGGGCGCGTTCGACCACCTCCCCTGGGCCCTGCCCCCCCCCCCCCGCCGCGAGGAAGCGGTCGCGGGGGGGCGCCCTGGAAAGGTGAGCTCTCGACTCCCCCCCCCCGATCCTCCTCGCTGCATTATCCCTCCCGCCCTCCTCCTCCAGTGCCGTTCGGCTCAAGCAGTGCCGTTCGGCTCGAACCAGCGCCGACGTCGGCGGTGGCACGGGCTCGCGCCTGTGCAGGATGGACAGAGAATTGCACATATAGGCAAATATGTGCGAAACGGCGGCCCTGGAGGAAGCTGAGGAAAATAGGGCCGCAGTTGCGGGGCCTCCATGGGGCAAAGGCGGCGATGGGGCAGCTCGTGGATGGCGGGGCGACCGCAGCGGCGGATGGGGCGGCGGGGATGGCCGCAGTGGTGGATGGCACGGCGGAGATAGGCGCAGTGGCGCATGGCAAAGAGATGGATGGTGGAACGGCGACGGAGTTGACCGCGGTCGCGGATGGGAGTGCGGCGGCGGAGGTTGGCAATGCGGAGAGGAGGGTGGCGGCGGAACTCATGGCGCCAGTGGATGTTTGGAGGGCCGCGCCAGCGGTGGAGGAGAGGGCGCAGGCGAACGCGAGCAGGACCGCTGGAGCGGATGGGAAGACGGCCGCTGGAGCGGTTGGGAAGGCGGCCGCTGGAGCGGATGGGAAGGCGGCCGCGAATACCAATGGCAAGGCGCAGTTGCGCACGTCCAAGGAGAGGGCGCCCCCGCAGGGCGAGCGGCAGACGACGCGGAGGGCAGGGGGAAAACCGCAGTGGCGCATGCGAGGAGGTGCCGCAGCTGCGGACGCAAACCGCCCTGGGGTGCACACGTTGGAGTACTTCCAAACTTACGCTTTGCGCTAGCGTGGCAACTATAAGCAGCACAGCGCGGCCTTGAAGTACTACCGCGAAGAGTACGACAATCCAGCGGACCCCTTCAACAGCCGATTTCCTGTTTTCGACCCCGCAGTTGTGGAGGCGATTTCGCGCATTATCAAGCGCAAAGTGCGCGGAGGGGCGCAGGGCAACAGGGACTGGGGGCGGGGCCGCGCAGAACTGGCCCCGTGGTCTTGGCTGCAGCTGGTCGCGCAGATGGATGCGGCCACAATGGAACTCGTCGTGTTCGGCCCTGACAACGACCGCAGTCGCGGATTGGTCAGGTGCGAGATTCGGCCGCGCCCTGGCAGTTGCGACCACAATAGGCACGCCAAAGGGGTGGACAGAGGAGAAGCGCAGGCAGTCCGCTTGCCCGTGTGAGATTTCGTCCTCATCCGCGACGACGGCCCAGGCATTCGCGCTCGCCCGGAATGGCCCAGTCCGAAGTTCAGCCTGCATGAGGTTGAGCCTCGCTGGGGGCCCGTGCAGCCCCCGGGGGCGGGCCTCGGCAAGAGCGAGGGGCGTGGCACGTACGCGCGCTATGAGAGATTGCACGCCAAGCCAATATCTGGGCGGTTCGACGCCACCAAAGGAGCTGGGCTACAACCGAGGTGGGAGAGGGCTTGAAACCGCAGTTGCGGGAACCGATCTCGTGACACCGCGATCCTTTCACTCACTTCGCGCGTCGTCGCCCGCATTTGCGGCGCCCCCGCTCGCATTCCGCATGCGTCCGCCCGCAGTTGCGGCGCCCGCGCGAGTGAACTCCGCGGGCGGTTTGTCCGCGCTTCACGTCCTTTGAGTCAGTCAGCAATTATCTGGGCATGTCCGCAGTTGCGGCAGGCGGAAACGCAGTTGCGGCGCGCGGCTTCTCGCGCGAAGCGTCGCGAAGAAAAAACTCCACGGCTCATATTGTCTTACTCTTGTCGCCGCCTAATTAATTATCTCTTCTGGATTCCCCTTCGTCAATGTCAGACCCTTTGGCCCCACTTTGTCGTCTTCTATCTCTCCTCGATTCCCCTTCGTCGCCCCCCCCCCCCCCATCCTCCTCCCCAGTCCTGTCTGCCGCGCTTGCGTTCTTGTGGCCGCCCTCGGTGTCGTCGTTCCCTCCGTCGCCCTCCTCGCTGTCCTCTTCGCAATTGCCAATCCTGGCCTTCGCGCCCGTCGCCCTCTTCCTCATTCGCCGCAGCCGTGTCCGAGCATCTGTTTGGGGGGCGCGCTTCTCGCGGCAGCATGCCGCAGTTGGAGGTCGCCCATGAGGAGACGCTGGCGGCGCTGAGGGGCCGCCTGCAAACGCGCTTTGCAAGGGGGGGGGGGGGGGGGGGGGGGGGGAGGACCGCAGTGGCGAATCTCCCAGCGAGGCCACGCAGCGGAGGAGGAGAAAGCCGCGGCAGCGGATCCCACCCCACCGCGCAGCCTTCGGGGAGGAGAAAACCGCAGTAGCGGATCCCCCGAGCGAGCGCAGCGCGAGGCGATTTCGGCGTCGAGTTGCAGCAGGGATCGGCGGCGGCCGCCGCCGACAGGCGCAAGTTCCTCCGCGGCGCAGCCGCGCGAGCGGTCTCGGAGTGCCCCGAGGCGCAGGGAGGCGCAGTTGCGCCGCGCGCGCGGAGCTCCCAGAGCGCAGTTGCGCGCGCGGGACCCGAAGCCGCCAGTTGCCAAAGTTTCCACCAGGACCGCAGTTGCGCAAATGCGTATTAGTCCGTTTGGCGCGGCAGGTCCGACCGCAGTTGCGGGAGCACCTCTCTCTTCGTCTTCGCCTGGGCCCGAAGACGAGGCCGCTTCTAAGGGGGCGGCCGCCTCGGCCACTGCCCCCGAGGACAAGGCCCCTGCGGCCGCGTCGAAGGCTCGGCTCGCGCAGAAGAG